CCATCCATCCATCCATCAGAAGCACCAAAAAAAAAAATGTAGTGTAGCCTGTAATGCCCCCATGCAAAGCCTAGGGCAGCCATTGTGCTCTGAGAAATTGTGCGTCCTGGTTTATGCTATTCATGGGGGTTTGCAAAAGAGTAACTGATTGGTTATGTGCCACCAAGTCAGGGCTGACTCTTAGCAACCACATAGATAGATTGTCTCCAGGACTTGCAATAGATAAGAAGAAGGAAATCATAAAATAACAGCAGCATGCTCTTTTATGCATTTAAATGTGTTGGCAACTCACCTGCAGGAATCCTTGAACTGGTAAAATTCATAGCAGTCATGCTAATATTGTAGGTGAATATGTGCCCAACTATATCACAAACGTATGACAAATATGGATCATAATCTTTCAGAAGCTATAGCAGACATGGACCCTAATATCTTGGTAGCTATAAGGAAGCAGGATATCTCAATGGTGGATTTCATTATTTGTATGCAGAAGCTTTCATGTTTGTTCCTTGACACCTGCAGATAGGGCTGGGGAATATACTGTATGTCTGAAATCCTGAAGATTGGCAAATGTTCTCATTTAATATCAGCGACACAGGTCTTGGGAGTATGGGGGTGGGGACAAATGAATGAATATTCATCTATAGTTAAGCTTGTATTAGAGAAACACTTTAGTGGGCTTACCTTCTTTGTCAATGTATCCATTCTGCAATTAATCTAACACATTTGTTTGTTTCCATTTGTAGGATTGCCAGCATCTGACCTCAGGATACAATGTGCAAAGTAAGTCTTCATTGCTCTGAGGGTAAACCAGCCTCCTGACACTTGGGGCGCTCTAAGAATGCTGCACTATACTCCACCATCTCCAACCAGTGTGATCTGAGAGAAGACAACCTCTCTAAACCATCAGCTTTTCTCTTGATCTATTGTCCTGTAAGACAAAGGATGGGAAGTTCAGCTCCGCCCCACAGAAGAAGTTAGCTTTTGCATGCTCCTCATTAATGCTTTGTCCTATTAGGGGTGATGGCCAAAGGTGGCATCACTTGCCCTTGAGAGATACTGTGGGGTGACGCGCAGTTGCCACAAAAATCAGAGCAATGAAAGTGACTTTGCTTCATTTATTTTCAGAATGGAATGAGCCTACCAGTAAAGTTGCAACCAAATCCGTGCCACAGAAATCGTAAGTACTTTCGTTTTCTTTTTAGTTACAGCTTGACACATTTTAAGTGGGCCTAAGGATGAAACTGATGACTGTCTTCCACTGTCTGATCTGGGTTAAGACCAGGGAAATCTGGATTCAGATCCGCATTAAGCCATGTAAGTTACCGGTTCACTTTGTTTCACACTTCTTGATATATTCATGTCAGGTTAAAGACTTAAATAACCACCTTCTTCTCATGAAACCTGATTAATATTAACCTTGATCAGCTTTTGTGGTGGCTTAGCATGTTGGACAAACCTACCCCATTTGGTTAGTTTACAATTGGATACATTGTGTAAATCCAGAACGAGAGCTAATTCAATAACCAGGCTAAGCGTATCATATGAACTTAGATGTTATCTCTTAGACTGACCTACCCATTGGGTTCTTTTGTGGATAACGTAGGAGGCAAAAGAATTGTGTATATAGTTCTCTTGCATGGAAGATAAAATAATTTGCAAAGGGTGCTGGGGAACTGATTGATGAAGTGACCACCAAAGAGAGAATGATGCCCTGGTGGATAACTTTTTCATCGTCCTCTGCTTTGTGCCATCTTCCTCAAGTTTACTTCTGTTTTCCATTTTTGCCTTGAGTTTCGTTGGAATAGTCATTCATTCTTATTTGTGAAAAGCCTTGGTCAAAAGGCGTGTTGAGAGCAGCAAGTCTTGCAGAGTCATGACGTCATGAGCTAGAATGTCCTTGATAGATAGCCTGTCCTGCCTTTTCTTGAAGACCCCTTGAGAGAGAGACCCTTCTGTTCCCCAGATCAGTTTCATGGTTGAGCAGCTGTCTCAAGAAGTTTCTCTAAACTGCCCTTCTGCCTTTTAAGATGGTTAGATCCTGTTCTGCTCACTGGGAATGTAGAAACCCAATGAATGGACTCCGAGGGAGAGAAGAAGTTGACTGAGGAACTTTTGGGTCTGCTGGAAATTCCTGTTTGGGTCACTCTTGCTTTTTAAAAGCAAATCAGGGCAATGATGAGGGTCTTCTTATATGATGACATGGACGTTACCACACACTACCACCAACTGGCTGAATGCTGGTAATAATTACACTGAGAAGGTTAAAAAAAGGGAAAGGTCACTGATTGGTTGGACTGAATCCTGCTGGGGGAAAAGGAGTGGTGTATGGCTTGGAGACTGACCCCTTGGGCAGCCACTGGATAATTGATATAAGCTGCAGCACAAAGGCCTTCACAGAGAACACCAATGGGTGGCAGGAGAATTCTGGGCCAAGAAGGTGCAGTGGTTTGGTGAAAGAAGGACAGAGCTCTGGAACAGCTCAAGAATCCTTTGACAGGACAGTGATTCCATCTCTTCACAATTTCTGTAGCTACCAGGGCTTTTCTTCTTTTTTTCCTTTTCTTCTTTTTTTCTTTTGGCCTACTGAGTCTGCCTGAGGGCAGGAGTCTACCTCCTTCCTCCTCACTGTTACCTGTCTTAACTACATTGTATTGGAGAATTCCCCAGCATGTCAAGGGAACCAGAAGCATAGACTTAGAATGTCAATCATAACTTGCTTCTGGCGATAGGATGTTCTGGGATTGGGGGTTTGAGCACACAGACTCCATCCATTTTTGTTAATATTTTTTGATAGGCAGAGTAGCCATAAAAAAAAAAAGGAAATAAAGCATTCCCTGTCATTTCTATTTTGCCATGTTTTACAAGAAGAATGCTGATCTGCAAGGGGAAGGATACAGATTTGGAGGGGAGGCTGGCCAGATGCTCAGTGTGTCTCTCTGCTTTTCACTGTTGCACCATGATGCTGTGTCACAAAAAACACACAGCATTGCCTTGCAGAAAGTTATGTAGAGTTATTTTATTTAATGGGGTTGGCATCATGGTGCCTGTGGGTAGTAAATTTCACAGCAGTTGGCATCTACTTAACACTCCCCCCCCCATAAGAATATTTCAAAATAGCAATAATTTTAAGACATCGAACAAGATTTAGGCAATCTCATAGGATGTTGCAAAAATGAGATTGCCATAACTTTATCCGTTTTTGATGAACTTGCAAGATTGCAGCAGCATCACCTCAGTCCAAAGCATCACTGGCATCTGATTCAGAGCTGTGCCAAGGAGCAGAAATTCAAGTTGCTCTGCATCAACTCAGAGCAAGTTGACTTGATCTGGCCAGCTCTTCTTCTCCAGAAGAAAGAGGTTTCTGACCATTAATCCCTATTTTCTGGATCCAGATTGAAGTGCTGCAGGTGCTCCAACCTGAACTTGAAAGGAAAGGGCTGCTTCAAACAGAAGGGTCCTTCAGTCCAAGATGTCTCAAACTGAAATGCCCATTCAAAGTTCTGCATGGCCCAGATGGAGATGGATGGGTGGGCAGGTGGTTGAATGAAGACAGGTACTGTTTTGGTGCCCAACACCTGTAAAGGTTACACCTAGAATTACCGTCTCACCAATAAACTAGTAGGCATGTTAGCTATAACAACAGCAACCCAGTTTTGTATCTTTAAGCAGAAGTGTGTTAGGATTGCAACCTAGAAGGGTATTGTAGGTGAGTTTATCGGAAAAGGCAGCCTTGTGAGCAGTGTGTTGCAAATAATAATAGAGGCATTAATCATGGTGTATAGTTTTATGCCAGATTTTGGAACAGGGAGAGAAGATCATTCTTGACCTCTCTGGTAGGCAATGTACTTAATGGGTGAAAGGCCTTTTATGGGAAGCTAGATCTAAACCTGAAGACAGGAAGTAGGGAATTTTGGTGACCTCGGCTCTTTCTGGCCCTATCTAATCCAAGGGTCCAGTAGTATTGCTCACTTCTTAAGGAGAATCAACTACTGCCCCCTGGATGGTGATGGATTTTACACACGATCATTCAAAGCCAAAATATAGAGTTGTTCTTATTTTTAGTTTCTAAGCCAGATTGCTACAGTGCTTCTCCTTGTTCTAGTGATAGGTTGTTCAGGCAGGTTCAGAGAACGTCTGCGGAGGAATGGGTGCATTGAGTTTGGAAACCTCGCCTTGTTCAATTCAGTTTCCCAGCTCTGCTTATGGGGAGCTGGGACCTTGTGGATGTGACTTTTGTGGATGTGACTTTTGTGGATGTGACTTGCCGACTCAACCTGCCTAAAATCTGAATCATTTGATAGAAAGTTATTGTTCAGTACTGTGACTCCTATTAAATCCCATATACTTGCTAGTCATCCTCCATTCTTCCTTAGTTTAGAAAATTCAGGTAAATAGAGGAGGAGGAGGAGGAGGAGCAATTTCAGGCCCTTGTAGCTGGTAGGTGACATAGCTGGCCTTGATACAAGATTAGCAAGGTGATTTTTTTCAGATAACTAGAATTCTGACCTTGACTTGGCATTTCCATGGATATGGAAATGACACTGGATGCTCTGAATGAACACAGCCCTTTATTTATTTACTGATTACTTGCTTACTACAGACTTTTATCAGCCCAGGCAGTTTACAACCATAAAATACATGACAACATACAGTAAAAGTAAGATCTCCCTCTGTTCCCCAATAAAACCACTGTATCAAAACTAAAAATAGCCACCAACAGTAACAAAATACAGTGGGAAAAATGCCACCCCACATTACCGCTGAAATGTCTATTGAAACAGAACAGTTCTTTCTTTAGAAGAAATCAAATAACAGTATCCTTCAACGTGGCATTTTTCAAAGAACAAGAGAATAGGCCTCTGCCCCCACCTAGAAAACAAAATTGAGTCAGCAGATGAAGGAGGAGAAAACAGAAGTACAAAAAGTGGGATGCATTTCAGTTTTTTTCTATTTAGGATGCATTCAATTAGGAAGTGTGGACTGAGAGCTTACGTCAAAGCTTTCACAGAAAAGGTGTGCTTTGAGATGGGTTTTATGGGAAGTAAGAAAGTGGAATTAGGAAGGAATTAGCCTTGCTTGGGATCTGCCTCCTCAGACAGGGCCATTCCACGTACTCAATAATTTCCAGTAGCTTATGGGCATAACCTCTTAGCTTTGAAAGTTATTTGATGACAAGGAAGGAATCCCATTAGGAGTTCTAATGTCCTTCTTTGATTTCAGCTGAACTGTTAGGAAAATCTTTGCAAGAACATGGCTGTGTAACAAACAGAGCAGGATCTATTGGGTTTAATAGCAGCCTAGATGGCCTCGAAGTGGATCCAAGCCAAGGGCTCACTACCAAACAGGGCAAAAGAAATCATGGTGATGAGGTTAATGCATTCTCAAGAACAACTGCAATATGCAAATTTAGCCTTCTCAGCAGCAGAAAACTAAAAAGTAGTGGCATGCCTTTACAATCACTGATGGGTAAACAGAGAAAATGCCTTTGATGGTCAAGAAATGCATGTTCTTTCCCAATTTCACTGGGTTTTTTTCTTTAAAAGTGAACCACACATTACCCTTAAATGACCAGACTTCATGCTGCAATTCAATCAGCATCCAAAAAAGTGGATGAAAAGGTATTGCTCCACTGGTAGCTCTAAGCAACCAAGGACAAGACGAATGCCCATTAAAGAGAATCATAACTTTTTATAGGAAAGAATATGGCAAGCCACTTTCAAATTTTGCCCACTCTTGATGAATCTCATATGTGAAGATTATAATAATAATATTAAGATAGTACCAATAGTAATAGGTGCCTTAGGAACACCACTTGAACTGGAGCACCACTTGAACACCATCAGCATTGACAAAACCACCCACAGTCAGTTGCAAAAGGCAGCTTTACTTGGAACAGCTTATATCCTGCAACGATACCTTGAACGCCATCAAACCATCAGACAACATCTGCCTATCCAGGTCCTTGGGAAGGACTCGATGGGTAGACAAAAATGCCAAATCCAGTCTAAACATCTGTGGAACCAACCATAGTAATAACAATAATAATGGATATATAGATTGCAGACTTCCCAACCCAATGCCTTCCAGGTGTGTCAGATTTCAGTTCCCATAATATACAGCTGTTCCTTTAAATATTGTATCTGAGTAGTCTATCAGATCCATTTCAACAATCCTGAG